GTGTATCCTGCCTTCCGCCCAATGACAGCTGGGATAGGCTCCAGCACCCCACCGCGACCCAGAAGGATAAGCGGTTTAGATGATGTATGTATGATGTATACAATAATAATAATAATTCAGATTAATAGGAGTAAAAACAAATAGGGAAAGGAATTAGAGAGTAAAGGTTTTCATTGTCATAAGAATGAGTAGTTGGCTAAAGAGTTTTGACATGTTTGTGATCAACTCGAGCGTGGCGTGTGTTAGTCGGCCTCACGTGAGGATTGCTAAAGCTGTGCTTCTGTGTGGGGAAACTGGAGCAATCCTGCAGCATCAAATTGGGAGAGGAAAGTAGGGCAGGAGGGCTGGCCAGCCTCTAATCTCGTTTGGCCTTGCCATTTATTTATTTCTTTATTTCTTTATTTATTTTGTTCTCTAGACAGATATGGCAGGGGGAGCATTTACAAAAGAATAAGGGTTTATTTTACAAGGCCCATATCTAGGAAAACCAGGTTTTCCTTGCTAAGAGGTTAAAATAATATGAAAACATGTTAAAGTACCTCAACACACAGTTCACTTTTCAATCTATGCTTGTACTCCCGTCATCCATGTATGAAAACTAAACTGCAAAAGGATCCCATTTTGAATTCATCATGGTTGTAATGTAGAGGTCTGCATGGGCATGAAAGTCAACCTTGAGTCCCATCCGTACCTGCAACTTTAAGACCCGACATGACTGGAACTAGTGAGGGGCATCCCAACTCTTTTCAGTAGCCATGTTTACATGCAGCCTGATAATCCGTTATTAATCCGACTAATAGCTCAATCGGAACAGAATATGTCCGTGTGTACACCTCAGTCGGAATAGATTAGTCTGATTGAGGCCATTCGAAATACAATTTCTTTCCGATTGAACGAGGTGGATAATCCTGTAAAAAATCTGTTAAATAGCAGAATAATAGCCACGTAAACGCCTATATCTGATTACATTCATCGGAGAGTGTAAGTACGTTTTGCGCATGTGCGTCGAATCATAGTGAAAGTTTATAAGGTTTAACATGGCGGGAGTAAAAGCTGGTCTGCAGAGGAGACGAAGTTTATGCTTAGATGGTGGTGGGACGGATATCCAGCTTATGTGTCTCAGAACACGACATCTTCCTCTCACCCTTCTTTAATAAGTACCTGTGAAGTACATTTCCTGAGTCTGACATCATTTTAAAGTGATTACACATCAGCGCTGCTCACTGCTGGTCGTCTCACTCTGACTGGACTCACTCAATGCTCGCTGTCATGGTAACGTCTACACTAAGTTGTACTCTATGCATGCACGTAATTTTGGATCTGATTACTTGTAGTGTGCATGTAAACTGAGATTCTCATCAGATAATAGGTGAGCATATAAACACCCCAGTCTAAATCTACAGGGAGAAAGTGGCCCTGAATATTCTGTTGTAACTCCCGTTATGATGAAGCAATCTGAACCAAAAAAATACGCTACATACCTTGAGGTATGTGTAATCGATTGTATTACATGCGATTCTGGAAGTGATCTCTTTTCTGCCAGACACATTTCGACATGGCACTCCTGACTGTATCGGCAGGCATATCAGGAATAGCAGCAATTTCACGTTGGATGTTTTCCTTCAAATATTCCACAGTGCAAGGCTTGTTCCAGTAGACTTTTCCTTTGAGCATACCTCAAAGGAAGAAGTCTGATGGTGTCAGATCCGGCGACCATAATGGCCAAAGCCCCTTTGAAATTACCCTGTTGCCGAAGAAAAACTCAATTTCTGCCATGCTCTTTGCATACTGTATACTGTGCATCACCATCCTGATGAGAAGTCATGCACCCACAAGTTGCAAATGGAGGTTGAACGTCGTGACAGCTGTCCGGCGCCTGCCTCATTGCTTCAAAGCTCCATATACTGAGGAGCACATTGCACTTTGTTTCGTTCAGATTGCTTCGTCCTAGCGAGAGTTATTACAGAATATTCGGGGCCTCTTTCAAGTAAATCTCCCTGTATAATTGGAATGTATTCAATTGGATTGGCAAAAATCTTTGCATGTAAGCATAGCCAGTGAGTCAGATCGTTTGGCCATTGAGAGTCTGCTCTTTTTTTGCTCCTAAATGGCTCTTTGTTATTACCTGTCATTTATTTGACGATAGTTTTACAGTGCTTTGCTTTGTTACTAAGCGCTTGAGTTGATCGACAGAAAATGTCATAGTTGGTTAATTGGCATGATGTTAATCTATAACACACCAATCGTGCTTATTATCAGAAAACAGCATCTACTCTCCCACTGCGATGAAGTTCCTCATGCTACTGCAGAAGTGCTCGATACACTTGAGGCAGACTTACGGTGTGCGTACGGACTGCGACTGATGTCTTGTGTAACTTTCAGTTTTCATTCGTGGGCACATTGACCCACTCCTTAAACTAATGAGCTGTTTGGATTAGAGTTATAGACTGTAATGTTATTATTGAGAGAGAGAGTGACAGAGAGGGTGGAACAGTGGGTGAGAGAGAAAGTGCGTGAGAGTGCACACAATTTACATAGGCATATTCGTTTACAGAAAATAACTCATCAGGAAACAAATATTGTATGTGGAAAATCAGCCCGAATTCAACCCAAAACCTAATTTTTTTGTTGGGCCACGTTCGTTTCCGTTTAGGTGATGTCGCACATTTACATATCACCAGCTGTTCAGTCTACAGCGGTTTAGTCCATCAATTTGCATAGATGTGATAAGGAGTGTTGTTACTGCACACTCTAGCCTGGTGTGCTTTTTGAATGAGGCAGAATACAAGACAATCAGAACGGATTATTACATATAGTAGTCTTAAAGGTACAGTAACAAAACAGCCTATTTAATTCTAAGGGATAAAGATAGATTAGAAAATGGTCACGTAATAACAAATGATGAATGTTTTTGGTACATAAAATTACACAAACATAAGTAGCCCTCTGAGAAAAGAGATGCCGTAAAATTAAAGAAAAATGTAGAAAATGGTTTCTTAGCATTGACTGTGTGTGTGAGAGTGGACATGCTTATAAATGAAGTGTACAACTTCATGAGCGCTCTCAGGTTGATTTTTATGAGCGTGTGTGTTTGCTGCAGTGTGTTGTGAGTAGGTGAAGACAGCGGGGGTGAATGCCTGTGTAGATTACACCTTGTTTTGCGCTCTGTCAGAATCGGTGTGTCAGTGCTGAAACAGCTGTGTGTGGGGTGAGTCAGAGAGTGTGAAGAGACGGTGTGGAATATCACTGTGGGCTCCATCAGAAAACATCTCTGTGCTGAACAGATTCTGTTGTGCTGACCCTTTATTGCCCTTTACTGCCCTCTTCTGCACTTCATTGCCTTTCACAGCTGTCTACTCTGCACTCACTGTACAAACATCTTTACAGCAGCAAATCTCATGTGCATGTGCCTTATATGGATATTGCTGTCTCTAATTCATCTGTCATGTTTTCTTTTTATTCTTGTCTGGTTCAGCTGTGCCTGTACAGGTTTGGGATGTAATGGAACACAAGTGTATGGAATTCAAATTCAGAATACAGAAATTAAGTATCATATTCAGCCCAAATTAGGTTTTGTAAAGGCAGTATTCAGAATATAGTTACTTAAATTGTAAGGAGAATACTTTTTAGAATACTTATCTGTAGGCCTGTCACAATTATTACATAACTGCCCAATCACGATTATTTGAGATGCCTGCAATTATTTAAGGTCATTTTCCACAGTCATAAGATTTCACAATCATGTTATGCAAACAAAATGTGAATTGGCTGCGTTGGGTTGAGGCGAATAAATTTAATTAAAAGAAAAAAGTAAATGCATTCATTGAGACATCATTAACCATTATATTTAATAAAATATATACTATCTTTAAAAGACACACCATCAATGCTTGTTTGCATGGTGTGTAAAGACGTACTCTAAAGAAGAAAAAGCTTCTTTAAAAAACTCTGAAGTTCCTGCTAAAGCCTGAGTAGACTGATAAATCACTGTGATGATCATTTATTAATCTCAGTGTTACTGAGCTCTGCTAAAGCCTGAGTAGACTGATAAATCACTGTGATGATCAGTTATTAATCTCAGTGTTACTGAGCTCTGCTAAAGCCTGAGTAGACTGATAAATCACTGTGATGATCAGTTATTAATCTCAGTGTTACTGAGCTCTGCTAAAGCCTGAGTAGACTGATAAATCAATGTGATGATCAGTTATTAATCTCAGTGTCACTGAGCTCTGCTAAAGCCTGAGTAGACTGATAAATCACCGTGATGATCAGTTATTAATCTCAGTGTTACTGAGCTCTGCTAAAGCCTGAGTAGACTGATTATTCAATGTGATGATCAGTTATTAATCTCAGTGTTGCTGAGCTCTGCTAAAGCCTGAGTAGACTGATTATTCAATGTGATGATCAGTTATTAATCTCAGTGTCGCTGAGCTCTGCTAAAGCCTGAGTAGACTGATTATTCAATGTGATGATCAGTTATTAATCTTAGTTTTACTAAACTTTTTGAAGGATGATGGAACCGAACATTCTCTTCAGTAGTAAACATGTTCATGAGTGATAAGCTTAGTGTTGGTGTTGTACTGGACTTGTGTGTGTGTTTCATGGCAAATTTAATACATGCCATTGGTATATGGTGAACTGCTTTGTTCACGGGATGACAGTAGGATTATGGGAGCAGCAGTGAACTGAAGCAGGTAATCAGAGACAAAAATAATGTTGAGAATTGTATAAATTCATTTAAATAAATGAATTTTTCATGAAACATATTAGCAGAATAATTACAAAAAGAAAACTGCCAACCAATATCAGCGAGGAACAGTGTGAATGAAATAAAAATGGCAACAACAGATTTTTTCGCATGTGCTTTATCAATATGTCTTCAAAATGTATTCTTATTATGTTACTTTTCATGTATTGTAATGGAGTACATTATTAAATACATTTAGGACAGTGTATTCAACCAAGTATTCTGGCCAACACTATGTCTGTGTGTATTGCAGGTTCTGGGCTGGATTCGTAATGGAGAGTCCATGCTGAACGCTGGTCTGATCACAGCCAGTTCACTTCAGGAGGCTGAACAACTTCAGAGAGAGCACGAGCAGTTCCAGCATGCCATTGAGGTGCTCTAAACACATTTCTTTTCTCCTACACTCGCACAATCTCAATAACAGGAACATCCACACGGCAGACAAGCTGTGGATGGTGTCCGTTTATGGCACATCTACAGCAGCACTGTTCATAGAGCATAATGTGGTTAAATAATGACAATTTCACTCCAAATTTTTCAGTCTTTTCACTCCAAATTTTTCAGACTTGGCTTACCATGTCCTGCATGTAATTGTCCTCCATGAAATGGATAAAAAAAATCAGTTTTAGGCCAAAAACTTATCATAAAACAATCATAAACCAATATCTCAGTCATCAGTCAATGTACTCATAACCTGTTTAAGCAGTGTTCACGTTTTCCTTGAAAAAACCATCATTCCGCACCTCACAGTGGTACGCGGCTGCAAAAGTTGGCATGGTGACCGTTGTGTTGGCGAAAATTGATGATTATCAGAGGAGAACTTTAACAGTACATTGTTTATTTAATGTGGAAAAAGGCAGGAGGACTGGGTTCGTCTGGAGATCAACAAGAAGAGGTTTGGCGTCCATTGCTTTTTAAAAAATCAACACTGGGTTTGTTTCACCACTGTGGTCAACTTTATTTAACAGGTTAAATAAAATAAGCTTTCAACTAAGGTCGCAGCAATAATGTATCTTAAAGGCAGTATCGCAATTTGTGATGGTACAGATACTGATACTATGACTGACACCACAGAGCAATTTCTAGCGCACACGCGCACAGCTGAGTGACACGTGCATGTGTGCCTGTAGACGGAACTTAACAAGTTATTTAATGTTAGTCCAGGTTGTTCTCAAGGGCCTGAACATTAGGGAGATATATGAAAGGAGCTACTGATCTCTTGGAGTACTGATGGCTATGAGGCTGATCTTGAGGTTTATCATAGCAGCCTACTTGCCAGGCTAGTGTGTCCACTCTCCCTGCCTGCTGTGCGCCTCCAATGGTCAGCTGAATCACACAGCAGTGGGGTCTAGCAGCCTGATGCTTCAAACATGCCATGAAATCTCCTGAAACACACTGCTGCTGTTAGCTTGCCTGACTGTAATATTTACTGAACTCCAGCAGAGTCTGACGCTCGGATATGTAAACGCGAGTCAACGGGACGCATGTGTGAGACAAATGACTCGAGAAATTCGGATGTGAAACAACATTTAGCAGAGCCAGAGAAACTGCTGCATGCTTATGTGTACAAACCACAGGCTTATATATATATTGTTCAGTTTTTAACTATTTTACACAATAAAAATAGTTTTCATGTACTTCAGTTATTAAATATAGTTCCTGTTACTGTTTTATTGGTGACACAGAACATCAAAATAACATTTAAAATGTGGATTTGAATTAATATCCCGACTTTTAAGCTAGTTAGGTTAAATAGCATTAGTGTTGGTACTCAGTATAAGCTGATACTTAAGGATAAGGTGTTGGAAACACCTTTTCCTGCTTTCAACAGGAAAATCACCAAACTGATGCAGATCCTCCAGGACCAGAATTCCCCTGCTTTAATGATGTAAACCTTTCTCTTTCTCCTTTCCTTTCTCTCCCTTTCATCCACTTTCTCTTTCTCTTTTCCTTTCCCTTCCTCTGTCTCTCTCACTCTCTGTCTCTGTAGAAGACTCATCAGAGTGCTCTGCAGGTGCAGCAGAAGGCAGAGGCTCTGCTTCAGGCTAATCATTATGATATGGATATGATCCGGGACTGTGCTGAGAAGGTGGCATCTCACTGGCAGCAGCTCATGCTGAAGATGGAGGACAGACTGAAGCTGGTCAACGCCTCGGTGGCCTTCTACAAAACCTCTGAACAGGTCAGGACAGCAGTCACTGACTGCGAGCTGCCAGGCAGAAGTTGCAGAAAAAGCCAGGCCTGTGTTTGTGTTGATCTGGTTGTGTGTGTGAGTGCTTGATGTGCTGGAGATTCTGAATGAGCAGTATAAGCTGGAGGATGTGTGTGTGCTGCAGGTGTGCAGTGTGTTGGAGAGTCTGGAGCAGGAATATAAGAGAGAGGAGGACTGGTGTGGAGGCAGTGACAAGCTTGGGCCAAACTCCGAGACTGACCATGTCACTCCAATGATCAGCAAACACCTGGAACAGAAAGAGGCTTTCCTCAAGGTACTGCAAATGCACATCACACATCACGTCACAGTCTGGGAACATACAGCCAAAACCAGACATTTAAAAAATAGATATTTTTTTAATTGCTTGAAAAATCATTTATTTATTAGTAAAATTATTAGTAGTGGACCAACACAAATAGCCATGTGCCCCTAATTTGTTGTAAATGTTTCACATTGGGCATTTTTTTGGTGTATTCAGTAAGCCAAAGTCACTCTGAGGTGTTACATCAGCTAAGTAAGCAGGACTTTACAATAACAGACCAAAACATTGATCACTTTCAAAATAATGGTTGACACGTCTCTCAGCCAGTCGCAGCCATATGTAAGCACTACTTAAGCACAAGAAAAACTCCAACAAAACTCGTCAGAACAAACGTGCAGTGAGAATGGCATTGGTATCAAATTTGTCAGCATTAGTAGGCTAATAAATGGTGAATTGGGGAACATCTTGTCCTGATCATGTGGGTGGTGGTGAAATGTTTATTTCATTGCTGAAGCTAAAAAGGTTTCGGATTTAACTGTATGGAAGAGCACAGTCACGGTTTATGTCATAACTAATGAGACTCTTAAGTGAACTAAACTTATTGTAGGTTACTATATTTTCTAGCACTGTGACTACAATGTTGAGTGACTAAATGTTTTCCCTGATTTTATTAATGTAAACATAGTTTCTAGAATCCAATTTTTATTTGCTGCAAATTAGCCTGCATGCATGTTTTGTCAATTATTGAACGTGTGTCTACTCTGAGCATCTTGAATAATAACATTTTAAAATACGTTTCTCTGTGTGCTTCAAAATTTCCTTTGTGCATGGAACATTTTAGTCATCTAGTGTCAGTGTTACTGATGCTACCAGGCAGACTGAGCTAAAAGTTAAAGCTAAAAGAACATAGCAATAGTAACTAAGCGAAGCAGGACTTTCTCAGAATTTTGCAAACGGTTAATTACAGATGGTAGCCCCTTTGTTGTCATGTGATTTTTAGAACATTTTTGCAAAGGTTTTGTGTGTGTGTGTGTGTGTGTGTGTGTGTGTGTGTGTCTGGAAGCCTTAATCCTCTCTTGTTTTCTGTCAGGCGTGCACGTTAGCCCGACGCAACGCCGATGTCTTCCTAAAGTACCTGCACAGGAACAGCGTGAACATGCCCGGAATGCTGGCCCAGATCAAAGCTCCTGAACAGCAAGTCAAGAGTGAGAACTTTGACAAACACAGGATGCACCAACTGCATTTCAGAACATACAGCATACTTCAGCTCTTACTCAATGTACAGCATTGTGCAAAAGTCAGAGACCACCCTTAATTTATTTTATTTCCAGTTTAAGTGGCCATGTTATTCTTTTTCAGGAGATTAGATATAAGATAATCCACTTGCATAAGGAAGGAGATAGTCAAAGGAAAATAGGTGGAAAAACAGGAGTTTGTAAAAACTAGAGTTAAAAATAAATTAAAAGATACAGAGAAAATGGGGCTTCTAACAACCGTGCAAGACCTGGTAGACACCAAAACTGTCATCATCAGATAAACAGCACTTAAAGCTTTCATCTTTGAGAGAGAGGAGAAAATCAAGCTCCACTCTTGCGTCAGATCTGAAAAAATCCATAGGAGTTTCTGTTCATCCTTCCACTGTGAGAAGACAACTGAACACTGTGAGTCTGAAAGGATGTGTAGCTGTCAAGAAGCTGCTACTGAGAATAGAACATTTCAAATAAAAAAAAAATCAAACAAGGAAGCTGCTGATGTTCTCAGAACAATGGACTGACCACCCCTCAACATCACTGAATGTGTTTGGGATTACTGGGATCTTGAGAACCAGAAAATGCATCAAACGTCTTAAAACTGTTAGAGGTGTGGAAAAATATATCTGCATATTTTTTGGAAAAACTGAAAGCAAGTCTCTCAAAAAGATCAGAAGCTGTAATAGAGGCAAAGAGTGGACACACTAAATAGTTAGATGTTATATTTAGTTGTTGTGGCTTCTGAGCTGATTTTCTGTTATATGTTTTCTGCTTTTTTTCTCCCTAATGCTAAAAATGGCCCTTTGACTGGAAATAATAATAAATAAAGGGTGCTTTCTGACTTTTGCACGGTACTGCATTTCAAGATATGAAATGAAAATAATGAAAATGATTAACTGAGTGTTCTGTGTGTGTAGATATCCTGAACGAGCTGCTGCAGAGGGAGAACAGAGTCCTACATTTCTGGACTATGAGGAAGAGGAGGCTCGACCAGTGCCAGCAGTATGTTGTGTTTGAACGCAGCGCTAAACAGGTCAGCAGCAGCGCACACATGGATACACATGCACTCACCCTTCCACTATACTGTACTCTATAGCGTACTGTACTGCACACTGCAGTACTCTGTGTTACCTTAACCTTCACCACTTTAGAAAAAGGGCTGTGATATTTTTTGTGTGCATGCACAATTGAACTTACATTATCTGATAACTAGTGACTTTTGGTGCATAGCAGAGGCGCCAACAGAGAAACATGCAAAGGAACCTGATTAAGGAGATGGTGATCTCGGACACAGTTGAGATAACAAGATCTGACATAATGAAGTAGCAAAAACAAACACTTAAAGAAGTAAATCAGCTGTTACTTGGAATCATGCAGCTGTTACCATACCTTATAATGTAGATTTTATTAATGTTGAACGCAACAGTTCATTGTTCTTTTTATCAGTTCATCAGTAAAGATTTAGAGAAGTTCTCTAAACTAGTTACAGTGTTAGAGAAAAGATAATACAATTATACGCTAGCTTGACTTTTTCCAGTACAAAATAAAATACAATTATTCATTCTATGTGTTCATGCAAATAGATTATTATTGCTATTTTTTATTTTACCAGTTCTGTCATCATAGCCACATTCTTTTCAGTTCCTTATTACTGACTGCCGGAAATATTGACCTTGGCTTTTAATACAACTAAGGCAACATTTCTTGGGTTTAATATATCAAACCTAAAAGAAATTCTTGTATTTCAGACCATTTCTATCACCTCGTGCATCTCATAATAAAGTAATAAAGAAACGTAATATAGAAAGACTCTTTAAAGAGTGTGTGTAAAATATATCATGAACATGTAACAAAACATAAAGCAACCTAAAGTCACATATAGCCAGACGTTAACGTGAGAACAAGAAGTAGATGTTCCACAGATGTGGAAGTTAAAATTATGTTGAAAATGCTGTACATGTTTAGATGTCATCTTAGTACTTCAAATAAAAAACAGCTTATTTTAAAATTCGATAGTTTTTAAAGCCAGTTATCGGACTGGTATCAGTATAGTCAGCATTTCAGTACTAATATAAAATTTAGTTTAAATTAATGGAATTTTCCTTGGGATTAATAAAGGTTTATTTATCCATCCATCCACCCGTTCTATATCGGTATCAAGAAAAAACGTTATATAGTGCCATCTCCGGTAGTTTTTCAGTGCAATTTACGTGTACTAATGTTCAAAAAACAATAGAACATGTATCGCTAGTGATATTAATAATTTCTTTTATTCAACAGTAACATACATTGTAGATTAAAATACTGCAAGCTAGACAGGAGAATGTATTTTCAGATCTTCTAGAAGTTTTTGAGAAATAATATACTGTCATTATATCTACCTGTAGTCATTTCTTGGTAAGTTTGCTGGTTCAACATTAATTCACTACTTTTTAAATACGAGGCATTCTAGATATTAATTTTATTATAGCACCATTATCAATGTTATACAACCTTCTCACCCATTACAGAATCATCTACTGCTCTGTTCTTCTTTCTTAACACAGCTATCAACAACAAATTTGTGAAGTTGCAGAGTAGTAGGATCATAATCTGATCATTTCATAAATTGAGCTGAAATTTTTCTGTTGTTTTACTGTAAACAGTGATCCCAAATTTTCCATATGTGGTTGCAAACTTTTGAACATATATATTCTCCTGTTCTTCATAAATACAAAGGCTACATTCTTTAACAAAGTTCTCCTTAAAATACAGTAAGTTGAATTTGTACAGTACCTTATGGGGTAGAGGCCAACAAGAGAATCCTACATACACCATCACGACATCATTGTTCTAGTCCTTGTACTGGACCGTCTGGACACTGGACGCAGCGCTGAAACTTAACACAAAGTCCACATGAGCCGCCTGCATTCATTTGTGTTTGGTTTGAAACAGCTTCAGGCCGCAGCAGCTATTTCTATCGTCCAGCAGCATGGACGCATGTCAGCTTGGGCATGCAGTGGTTTCCAGACTGTTATAATAAGTCCGGCAGTGTCTTTCATGGTCACCCGCCTCTATGCTTTATGATTGTGGTGTGAGTGTTGCCTTCCTTTACAGAGATGTGTATAGTCAAAGAAGAGAGCTGCAACGCCTCAGAGTCAGAAGTTTGCTCAATTTCATATACATTTACTGTCCACTTTATTAGAAACACTAACCTTATAGGCCCACTATATAGATACACTCTTACAGACTGTAGTCTGTTGGCATGCACTGTTTGGCCGGTCTGTACCTCGTTCATCATTCGTCAGTGTTTGAATACAGAATGGCTGTAGAAATTGGTGTAACTACCAGACGTGCAGGCAAGGCAATCACATTGGGGTCCGTAGTGTTTGGGGGCTTGTGCCAAGCAGTGGCACAAAATCAACGACCATCCTTCATTTCTTTAATTTGCAGTCAAAACTGGCAAAAATACAGGTTCATTTTTCAGCATCAATAGAAACTAAATGTAATATCAGATGTTTCAAGATATAGTGTGTGCACTTTCTGTCTTTATTACAACTTCCTTTCTTTCTTTGCTTTCTCTGCTTTTAGTTTTTCTGGAGGGATATTTCTCTACACCTCTAAAGTTCAATCTTAGAAGCTGGTTGCATTTCCTGCTTCTCACACTCCAAATAATCACATTCAGTGATGTTGAAGTCTGGGTTATTGAGGCACAACTCCTCTTGATTTTAATCAAAACAGTACCAGAACCACAGATACACTGTGAAAAATAAAGCGTTTACCCACTTTTTAGAGCTGTGAGAAATCGCTGTGATATGATCAATATAAGTTAAAAACTTTGGCTGGGTGACACATTAACATTAGTACAGAGTGCATTAGTACAAACTTATTCCTCTTCTACTGCATTTTCCTCAGATGGAAGCTGGCCTAAATCATTAATCACAAGCTTATAAAAGGTAATAGGTTACTAATGATGAAAAGGAAACAAATACAGCTAACAGAGCAGCCATGCAGAAGGAAGTCAGTGGAGAGCAACTGTGGCTGCAAACAAGACGAACCTCCAGAGCAACGTACTGACAAAATTGCTTATGTAGACACAGTTTTATAAAAAAAATTAACCAGGACAAAATAACAGTATTTACCAGTTAATCATGTATAAATGTAATGTTATCACTCTAGAACAGTGGGCCTCATTCAGCAGTATCTTCCTATGTTTTTTCTTAAATTTGTTCTTGAAAAAAGTCCTAAGAAAAAGTATTTGTCAGATTCATGACGTGTTCTTAAACTGCAGAATTGTTCACACCTTTGAGCTTTTGAGTGTGTGGATTCTGTTCTTACCTAAGACCAAATCCCAAATAAAAAAAGACTGGCGAATGTCAGAATCTTTGTTAAATTGACGCGAGTTTTAAGAAGAAATTTCATCTTAAGAGCGGTTGGTGAATGAGGCCCAATGTTTTTGTTTTTTTGAAAACATATTTTTAGTTCCATTTCTAGTCCTTATGTATAGCAGCCCTAATATGAAGAACATTTAGGAAGAGCTTAGATTTCCATAGCCTGAACTGTGTATCTAGATGCTTAAGGTGAAGTGCAGACATCTACACATTTTGTGACTGACGTTTGCACTTACAGTGGCTGGTGAGCAGCATTGGCTGGTAAAGATTGGATTAGGCTTGCAGATAACGTTAGCACTCCGACACGCTCACCAAACCTGAAAATTAAACAAAGAAATGCTGCACAAACACAAGTATTCCACTCGCCATCAAAACGACCAGGCTTCACTGGTAAACGGTAAGCTTTGGGAATACTGTGTTATTTGGGCCGATCACAATGCTATGTTTGAAATAACGTAGAGTCGGCTGCAAGCATTTAGACTCTGAGTCGTTAGAGTTGACCCCGACTCCCACGTGTGTCAGAGTCAAAGATTTGACTCTTTTGGGTTTGACTCCCCATCAGCAATCTGGACTGGCCAATCCATTGTTTTGAGAGCAACGATTTAGTTTTATTTTTTGTTTTATGATTTTTGTTTTATTATTTTTTAATGTTGTTTAACTTGATCTTTTGATTTTTGAGGTTTTGGAAGCTCCTGTTTTTTCTCTTATTTTCTTTTGTTTTTTTCCTCTTCCTTAAGCAAATGGATTATCTTAAAACTAATCTCCTCAGAAATATCTCTGGTAAATTAATAACTTGGTCTTGATGGATTTTGCGACTTTAAATGAAATAAATGAAGGGTGGTCTCTGACTTTTGCACAGTACTGTTGATCAGATATCGTGTGGGTGATATTGACATGGTAGTGCTGCTATTAGTAGAGTTTTACATACATCGTTGTCGCTGCTAGGTTGAGAGTGGACCACCACTCAAAAATATCCAGCCAAGAGCAGCTCTGTGGTCAGAAACTGAGGACGGCTAACACAAAGTGTGCATCAACCGATCATCTACAGTGTCTAACTGTACACCACCAAGGTGGCGCTACAAGCTAGGAGTTTCTAATAAAGTGGCCAGTGAGCATATTTGGCTGCGTGAGTGTTTATGAAGCTGCGGATGGTGGATGGAATGATAGTGTTTAGAAACTGTGTAGATGCAGTGAGAGCTAGCGCTGTAGGGTATGTTCAACATGAGAATCATCTCTCCACAGCTACAATTACCGACCCTGTTCTTAAACCCTGCGTAATTATAGTGCAGGGGCTCGCTCCACTCAGCCTGTTTATGTGGTTAAAGTTTCAGTCTGCTTACGATACTCCATAACAACCCATTCAGGAACAGACCTAAACAGACCTTTTCCTTACAGTCCACATCAGCCTGCTATTGCCTGTGAAATTAAAACAAAGAAGGCGTTTAGGCTGAGAGTCCGAAGAGCTCTTACTCCCTCTTGTGGACACACAAGTGCATCTCTCACTGGCTGTTTCTCACACGCATACACGCACATTTTCACAGACATGCGGTGGCAGTCAAAAGTTTGGACTCGTGACTGAATTTGTGCCTTTTATTATCTTAGAGATACTGTAAATTTAAAGCGTAGACCTTTGCGTAGAAGCTTGAAATTTGTTTCTAAGAACAATATAAATTGTGAAATTAATATCTGGGTATGAATCTATATGAAATTTTTTCAACATATAATTCAGGGGATGAAAAATGGAAATTGAATATGGCAAAATGTTATATCAAGATACTTAAAGACATTTTCATGATATTTTGACAGACAGACACCATGCACTGGTAGTGCTACATTTAGAAACTGCCATCCAAAATCTGAGTACCATGGTTTTTATTCCATGTTTCACATATTATGCCACACTAAAAAACAATTAAATATAATAAAATGTGCTTAAAAAAAAAATGTGAGACTGGGTGAGACAGTTGAACAGTGTTCTTTAACTGCTGTCAGTATCCACAATCTGCTTAGAAAAGCATTTTCCTTATCACAATAACAAAATTTGTCACGATACCAATACATTTTTTGTCATATTGCCCACCTCTAGTCACAGTGCTATTATTCCATACTAAGTATGCTAGATAGAGGGTCTACCACCCTGCCCAAAAAATGAGGGAAAACCAGTGGCCTGGTGTCCATTACAGTTCCAGAATTCCAGAAATGAGTGAAGACTGCCGTGTCATTAGACAAAGTGCCATCAGAGGAGTTTTTTCTTTGAGGGCAGAAATTCCCAAAATGTAAATCCACAGTCTCAGCACTGCTATTGAAATATGACATTCAGGGCACTACATGTATTATCTCATGGATGTAATGTTTATTTTTCTCAAAACAAAGTAATAGAACTACTGTAAACAGTGATAAAAGCTCAGATATTTATTGTAATCTAAATTTGTAATTCTGCCACATACCTAGTAGATGTGTCAAAATTTGTGATGGGTGCTTTGTATTATGCATTGAATTAGCATTGTTGCTTTGTGTGCAGGCTCTGGAGTGGATCCATGACACCGGCGAGTTTTACCTCTCTACGCACACCTCCACAGGCTCCAGCATCCACCACACACAGGAGCTGCTGAAAGAGCACGAAGACTTCCAGATCACAGCCAAGGTATTTGTCTGTGTGTGTATACAAATAAATAACAGTTTTTTTAAATAATGCTAAATGTTTGCTGTGGAGAACACTGTGCCAGGTCATAAAGTAATCTTAACAGTGGACTCACAAATCAGATCTTTAAGGTCTCATCTGCAAAGAGCCAGTGTGGCAGTGGGTTTTTATTCCAGCAAATCAGAAGCACACATGATCAGCTGTTTGAAGACCAAGACCAAATGGTTAAACTAGTAGTATCTGGGGTGCTTCTGCTTATTTGGAATGAAAACCTGCAGCCACACCAGCCCTTTGCCAGTCAGATTGGACACCTCTGGGTTAAAGCTAGATTATGTAAGTTTTGGTGATTTGGAGACCTCTCTGATGAGTGCGCTGAAAGACTATTCAAAGAGAAATTCAAAGAGGTCAAGCCAGGCCTTCTTTTTGAGCCTGTGCATGTAACATCAATATATAAAGATGTTTGATGTCGTCTGAAAAACTCCCACAAAGTTTGACTTGACATTTCTGAATTTTAAATCATTATTTCAGACTTTACAGGGTGGCTCGCAGCAGCACATGCACATCTTATTTTAACATGTTTGTTTCCTCCTGACATAATTATACTACTCTCAGTTTTAACAAAAAAACTTTACACAGTGCAGCTTTAAGTCTCCTGCTGCTCGGATGTTTCTCCTGAGCAAAAGCGACCAGTTAACTCATGAGTCTCCTCATGAGTTTAATTAGAGATCTCAATACACACGCTGTGCTCAGATTTGCTGAAATAAAAACACTCCGGTTTATTTGTAACTAAACTAAAGACAGCAGCTCAGCCATGTCTATTTCAATACTAATAACTTTCTCAATTTTGATTATAATTTTTATGTGGAACTAGAATTATCTCATGTCTTGGTTTTATCTATTATTTTATTTCTCTGAAAGGAATTTTGGGAGAGTTACCATTAAACATTATGAGCCATCAAAGATTAGCAATCGAGCAATAAAATTTACCTCTAGGCTCAGCCAGGGATGGCTGTGGTGTCACTGGGGGTCGAACTTGCAGCCTCTTGACAATAGGGTCAGCACTTTGCCCAGGTTACCAAGCACTTTTTTATAGAAATGTAATTGTGTGCTTTGCTTTTCATGGTGAATTACATTCAATTTTGATGTTAATACATTTATTTAATGAAAAGCAAGTGACCACTAATGTCCTTTTTTTCTTTTGCTTCACTCATGAAAAGTTATTTATGATTGAATTTCACTGTTATGGTTGCTTTATCATCTAGAGTCTTCACCATAGTTTACTACTGAAATTAGCAAGTTATTTTGAAAGGTTAGTTTGTTGTGGAGTAGTTGCTGGACAAAGCTGTAATCTGTCAACGCATCAGGCCGAACCATACGGTATAATTTCCTTTACTGGGAAATCATAGTCTTTCTGTCTCTCTCTCTCTCGCTCTCGCTCTCTCTAGCAAACCAAAGAACGGGTGAAGCTCCTGATCCAGTTGGCGGATGGTTTTTGTGAGAAGGGCCACGCCCATGCCAGCGAGATCAAGAAATGGGTCACCTCAGTGGACAAGCGCTACCGCGACTTCTCCCTCCGTATGGAGAAATACCGCTCCTGCCTGGAGAAAGCGCTGGGCATTTCATCCGACTCCAACAAGGTGGTGAGTGTGTGACTGTGCGTGTGCGTGTTTACATCTACGCATGTATAAAGACAAGAAGATGTTCTGTAGTTGAGTGATGAACTGGAGTGTGGGCCCAAATATGGGGCCCTTAAGAGTGTGGGGGTTAATGATGTGTACTGTAAGACATTATGCATCATGACCAAGAAAGCGGGTTCTCTTTTGATGACTGTTGTTGGCCAATAAAGTAGCAAAGGAAAGTTTAGAGAAGTTTAGAATGCGGTGGTTTGAGTTGTTGTCCCTTTTGTCCACTAACTACGTTTTTCTTTAATGCTCAGAGCAAAGATTTGCAGCTGGACATCATCTCAGCCAGCGCCCCCGAAGCAGAGGTCAAACTCCGAGACGCCAACCATGAGCTCAATGAGGAGAAGCGCAAATCCGCCCGCAGAAAAGAGTACGTCCGCCCCCCCCGCCACACACACACACACAAACACACAAGCAAAGCAGTAACAGGCAGTCCTAAAATACATGCGCTACTGTATCCGCACAAAGGCAGTCTGCCAAACATGGACACCTATAATTTTCATTTTTCGTTCATGGCGGCAGACCTGACCACACCAGTTCAGCTTCCCTGAAATGCTTTTTAAAGATATTCTGACAGAAAGTCTTCTATTGTGCGCTTGTGTCCCTATACAGGTTCATAATGGCTGAACTGATTCAGACGGAGAAGGCCTATGTAAGAGATCTGCGGGAGTGCATGGATGTGAGTATGGCCCATGGTCTAGTGTAAAGTTTCAAAAGATGAAGAGTTTTAGTGTTTTCTTTTTTATTAGGGCTGTCAAGATTAAAGTCAGTAACACGTTAATGCAGTAAACACTCTTTTTTTTTTACGCATTTTCCTACATCATCTACAGGGAACAAACTTAAAATGAATTCAGTAAAATTAAAATTAAACTTAAAATATGGCATTTTCCTGCAAAATTTAGTGCACAGTTTCTATGTATTTGCTGAGTTTAACAAGTAAAACATAAAATCTAAAATGTGCCATAACTTTTTCACAAGCCACATTTTATGTTTTGTTCCCCCCAATATGATCAGGGGCACACCAACATTTTGCATACAACTGTATGTTGGAACATGAAGCCACCGCAGTCTTTCTCAGCACAGCAGTGACAGTGACTTGGTGGACCTACAAGCCAGAGTAGATTTATTGCACATGTCTGAGCATGTAAAAGAGCATGTCTGTTTGTGTTAGAACCATAGCGAAACTGAAGAAAGCATTGTTTGTGCACTGTTACAGACGTACCTTTGGGAGATGACCAGTGGAGTGGAGGAGATCCCTGCAGGAATCGTCAACAAGGAGCACATCATCTTCGGCAACATGCAGGACCTCTACGAGTTCCACCACAAGTCAGTGATCCCATAAAATGTTCTCTGGTCTGAATACAGTCAGATTTCCACTCATGTTCCTCCTGCTTTTCTTCTGTTCAGACTCTTAACTCCTTCCTTTTCTCCATCTCTACCACCAGTATTTTCCTGAAAGAGCTGGAGAAGTATGAACAGCTGCCTGAAGACGTTGGTCACTGCTTTGTTACATGGGTAGGCGAACATGAACACCTGGAATTGGATTTGTGTCAGGTTTGAGCTATTTGACAATGTCAACAGTCCAGACCAGCAAAATTTGCTAGATTATTGTGCGTGTACATTTAATGGTGCAAAATAAGTCATCCATGAGTCAGACTCATTTAGCTGGTTTGTTGCGGACCGATAAAACCTTTTCTTTATCTTGGTCCGTTTAGACAGGTATGAACACTCCACCTGTACTCAAGTTCGCACCAGACAAATGAACTATGCTAGTAACGGCAAACCAGCAAAAAAATATTAGTGAAGGTATGTGTTTTTTGACACATATAGAACGCATTTTTGGCCAAGCATCAGCAACCTGATTGGTCAAATTTAAATTGGTAAACCAGTCATTAAGAAGCACAGATCAGCTAAGGTTTATTATCATTGCTTTGATTGTGACATACAATAACATTAAGTATCTATATTTTCTGTTCATCTATTTTCATGGTGGCAAATGTGAGAGTAACAAAGCATCCCTGCAAAACTTCTAACCAATAAACAAACTACTTGGGGCTCCCGAGTGGCGCAACCGTCTAAGCGCTGGCCCTATCATCAGGAGATCGCCTGTTCGATCCCTGGTGATGCTACAGCCATCCGTAGCCGGGAGTCCAAGAGAGCACAATTGGCCTCGCTCTCTCTGGGTGGGTGGGATGGCCCCTCCCTCTCCCCCCATCACTCAGCGCGATGCTAGTCAGCGCAGGCGTCTGTTAGCTGACGTAACAGATCTGGCGGTTGGCACTTTCCTCCGAGCGCGTTCGGCTGTCCAATGACGTTGCGTGAGCGGCAGTTCGAAAAGAAGCGGTGGCTGGTTTCACAAGTCTCGGAGGAAGCCTGTGTTAGCCTTCGCCCTCCTAGCGTTGATAGCATCGTGTGATTGGGGGAGTCCTAACTAGCGGGTGCAATTGGAGACGACTAAATTCGGGAGAAAAATCGGGTAAAAATTAAAAAAAAAGAAAAAAAAAAACTACTTGTGTAATTCGGTGAACTTTAGCCATTGCAGTGTGAAACCAAGCAAACCAAATGAAAAAGATACAATGTCATGTCGATGGGAGTTGCACCACTGCATAATGAAATTTGGCCAATAGATTATTACAGTGCTTCTCAAACTGAACAGTAATATTGTTTACTGGGATATTTTAAAAAGACAAGCAATGAATATTGCTGTAGTTTGTGTAAGTGCCTGACCATTATGAACGTTTTTCAGCCAATCGGTCAATATAATTTTATATTTATACTTTATTTTTCATTTTATACTCCACCAATATAAAATTTAGGGAAACGGTGCTTTTCTGACTGATATAATTGTCAGTTCTCAGCTGTGAAGTTTGAAATGAGACTGTCAGTTCTCAGTTGACTCAAACAGCAGAAACTCAATTTATATATTAATTAATTAATATAAGTATTGTGGGGGTGGAGTTCCCCAGAGTTCTTTTCAGTTTTGGTTTCTGTTAATTATCTCTCATTGCTCTTATTTTTCATCAGTTCTCTTTATATTTTTATATATTTAGCTCGTTTTGGTTTATAACAGCATTCTTTTACATTCTTTCAGTCTGCATTGCTGTTATATAGTTAAAGAGGGGGTGTCTCATATGGGGCTCCCCATTAGCACAGCTGTCTAAAGTCATATAAGGCAACGCTTCAGATAAAACCACTTGTCAGCAATATTGGCCAGTATTATTGACCAGCTGATACATTTTCATATTTTGGGCTTTTGTTTCAAGAGAAAATGACCTCTACAGTTCTGTAGCATATAAGATCTGATATTTCTGGACGTTCAGCTTTTCCTAATAACTCTCTGAGGAAGTCTCTGAAACTTCTTCTAAACAAAAAAAGACTTTTTTGCTTTAAATGCTAAATCTTCCCACACATAATGCTAATTTGCAGTGTGGGTGCTATGCCCACTAGTTCTCCATGAGGTATCGACTCTTTTTAAATAAAAAGCAGAACAATGATGATGAATGACCTAATGAAACAAGTCATGGATCTTTTTTCATCCTGCTGATGTTCAGTAGTGTACCAACAAAAAAGATACTTCATAGAAATGTAAAGGTCCAGTCAAATGTCCAGCCAACTTCTTTATAATCTTAAAGCTATTTTGACCCAAAGGCTTAAATGCTCAGAATGTGTTATTTAAATAAATATAAATAGATGAATAGTTCATGAATATGTGTAGATATATTTCCAACCCCCTTTTTTTATTTATACACTTGAATACCCATCTGGCTTGAAGTTTAGTGTCTAGTGCTGCATTTGACCTAATTCAGAAGTGGGAAGTTGGAGCTCAGAACTATATCAGTTTTGACCTCAGTGTGGGGAAAAATTACTAATGCCTTCATAAATACAAGTGTTTTTAGCCATAAATTAGCTAAAGTTAGTGATATAAGTGATAACTTTAATGTCAGTGATGTATGTACCACCTCAAAACAGTGAACTGTTAATGACAGTGTATGAATGTTGACTGATCTAAAGTAATTACTACTATAATCTCTTTAAAAGTAGAGGCATGGTACTTTGTTAACGGTGTGGGCGGCCATGTGGCTTTAACGTCTAATGCTTAACTGACAATGTAAATAGACCAATATTTCTAAATGTAGTAATTCAATATGTTAATTTACAATCTTGATGTTCTTTCTTATTCTAAAATATGAAAATGATTAATCTGGTCAGTTTCTCAGGACCACTATTGACCAGATGTTATTAGCGTACCAGACCACTTTCATTTTACTCTCTCTCTTTTCCAGGCCGATAAGTTCCAAATGTACGTGAACTACTGTAAGAACAAGCCGGACTCTACTCAGCTCATACTGGATCACGCAGGCTCCTACTTTGACGTAAGTGTGAAAAATATCGGTCTCTTCTTGTACAGTAATAAAGAGCTGAAGTTAATGTATGCATGTGATAAGGAGTTGGCTAGAGTTGACTGAACTCTAGAGTTATTGTCTGATATTTGTTGGGTTTACTTTGCGTAATGATTTAAACGTAATTACATATTTACATTATTTTGTTACATATTGAGTTTTCTTTACATTCTGCATCAACAGGTTTGAGTCCACAGTTCAGAGTTTTTAGTTACTTTTAGTGCAAAAAAAAGACAAAAATGTAAAAGAAGCTTTGTTTTTCATAAGTTCATAATAGAATGTCTACCTAATCTAATGGAAGTGAGAAATAACAAGGTCCTTACAGGAAAGTCTGTCCACTCAGTGGCCATCTTTGCAATGCCTCCATACAAGTCTGATCAAACAAGACCAGACTCCTGTCTCTTTGAATGGGGACAGACCTATAAACCCCAAACTGAAAGCTGCATTAATTTAACATATTTACAATCACTGGTAACATCTGAGCAAAATCACATAAATAGTTTGTAGTGTTTGGTTCAAATAATGGCAAATAATCTGGCTGCTGCGCATGCACACAAACATTTGAGGGCTTTTCCCGCTTGCCTGCAAACCGATTGAATCTTCTCATTGAAGGGCTGGACTTCAATGGAGCAAACACCATGTTAAATGTTATAAGCCATCCCATTCATTTTTGAACCAGTGAATATGTCTCTGGAAATAATTAAATATAAATGTAATTTTAGTACACAGTCATATGCAAAGGTTTAAACCCCCTTTAAACCAAGGTTTAAACCAAATTACAAAATCTTGTTAATTTTCTTAGTGAAAATAAAATAACTTCCTGTACTCAATTGTAAATTTTAGGATACAATTTCTATTTATTTGCTGCATTTCACATGAGATATAAAGTCACATTTTAAATTTTCTTGTTTCTTCATGTGTTAAATTCATCAAATAAACAGTAAATGTGCATTAAAATGTGCAGAGACGTTCTCTGTAGAGCATGTATCAATCTATTTTCACTTGACCAAGGGTGCCCAAACCTTTGCATACAACTGGAATTACCACATGGATTTTCATCATGTGAGAAACACCACTCTTAAGGATTAAATGCCAGCTCTGACTTTGTGTTTGGTGTCTGGGGGCGTTAATGCAGTGTGAGGGTGTTGGTCCTGCGGCTGGTCAGACAGTTTAATCTGTTTTTTTGGTGGATCTGTGTGCTGAGAGGAAGTCAGCTTGGCTTTCATCTCCACATCAGAACTCACACAGTGCTGCTGCCACAGCTTATATAACACTAAAGAAAACAATAGGGCTGTGTACATCATTGCTGCACTGTCTCAGACTCACCTACAGCTTCTTCCTCTACAGCTACTGCATCCTCCACACATGCTGAGCTGCAGACAGCACGTCCTTCCGTTCGCTCTCCTTGCCTGCCATGTTTGATATTGTTCTATATCTGCGCACTTATTTTTATACTGACATGAACATTTGTTGTTTGTGTGTATGTAGGAGATCCAGCAGAGGCACAGGCTGGCCAACTCCATCTCCTCCTATCTTATTAAACCTGTGCAGAGAATCACCAAGTACCAGCTGCTCCTCAAGGTGGGTGGGCCAGCAGAGGTGACAGAGCTCTGTGTGTGGGGGGTCCAGGCTCGGCCGACATCAACAATACACACTTCCCTCTTGAAGACATTGACAAACATTATCGGACTCTCATAGGCCTGTGTCAGCTAATAGTTAATAGTTACCACGGTAACAGCCCCCAGTGATAGTAAAAAGCCAACTTACAGTTCTTAGTTTTCTTCTTATTATTATTCTACAGTCAAAAAGTTGCAACACTGCTCCTTCTACAGCTTTTGAGCTGGGAACCACAAAACTTTGCAAGATTGTAGGACCTCTATCCAAATAGGTTATTTGTGCATTTTTTAATTGATTCGACTTACGATGTTTGAACAGCATTTGTTCAAACATGATTTTTTTCCCATAGGAATGAATGGGAGAATGCTCATTATCTTGAAACTGTGTCACTTCACCTATTAATATATAGAGCAACCGCATGGAAATCTTTACCATAGAAACCTTTGTAAGCCAAAATAAGTTATTAAAAACAATCACCAGTTCTGCAACTGCTTTAACTTTTAAAGCATTATCAGCTGATTTTGTAAAAAAAAAATGTTCAAAACTTGTTCCTTCACCATCTTTTTCTTTCTAGTTTAACCGCAGCAACACACTAGATTCAGATTAATATCATATTTATTTTACCTGACAGTAGTACCAAGAAGGGTTTGTTGTAGGTAATTGTCTGATGAGCTGCGCTGTTTGAACTCACGTAGGGCTGCATGCAGATATTGTGCATGCAAAAAAGTTGTCTGTGGTACGGTGTACTTTTTAGGGCATCCTCAGAACCCAGTGTTAGATTTCAGACTTCAGACTTCAGACCAAACAGCTTCAGGTCCTGTGAGAAAATCATGAGTAAAATCATGTCTCAACTCTTATACATCAGGTGAAATGGCTTCAGAGAAGAAAACGTTAGGCATCGTTATCATTCTCATTACTGCTGTGCAGGTAAAATAACCTTTGCGCAAATAAAAAAAGGAAAAAAATGCCTGAGACGTCCATGTCAGCCCCCAACCTCCTTGTTTTACCTGCTTTACCCGTTTACCATGGTTATTTTCACACTTACTTAACTAAAAAGACTAGACCATCATCTCACAACCTGGGTTCGATTCCCCGGCCAGGCAACTAGAGTCTTTTCTGTGTGGAGTTTGCTTGTTCTCCCTGTGTCTGCATGGGTTTCCTCCCACAGTCCAAAAACATGCAGTCAGGCCAATTTGAGGTGCAAAACAGCACCTAGGTGTGAATATAGATGTGAATGTGTGTGTGAACGTGTATGTCAGAGTGTCTGCCCTGTGATTGACTGGTGGCCTGTCCAGGGTGCTGGGATAGGCTCCAGCACCCCCATGCTTCATGATTCAGAATTTTTATTTTGATTTCTAGTGTACCTATGATGCCCTGCGTGTGTGTTTGTGTAGGAGCTGTTGACATGTTGTGAAGAGGGTAAAGGTGAGATAAAAGATGGTCTGGAGGTCATGCTTAGTGTCCCCAAGAAAGCCAATGATGCCATGCACCTCAGCATGCTAGAAGGTCAGTACAACACGATCACACACTGATACACACACATTAACACCTGCCCTGACATCATATGAGGCAAAAAAAGTCAGTTCCACCCTTATAGCTCTCTCTCTCCCTCTCTCTGCCTCCATTTCTGCTGCAGGTTTTGATGAGAATATCGAGTCTCAGGGGGAGTTGATCCTGCAGGAGTCTTTCCAGGTGTGGGACCCCAAGACCCTCATCCGTAAAGGCCGAGACCGCCACCTCTTCCTCTTCGAGATGTCTCTAATCTTCAGCAAGGACGTCAAAGACTCCAACGGCCGGAGCAAGTACCTCTACAAAAGCAAGCTGATGGTATGCCAGATTTTTCTGTTCTTGAAATATTTTGCCTCATTGAAAAGTTTGATTTCTCTCATATTTTCAGTGTAAGATTGCTAATCAACAAAGACATTTGACACTGTAGATCAGTGGTTTTCAATCCCAGTCCTGGAGACCCACTGGCCTGAACAGTTTCTGCTTTTCTCTGCCTCCAACTTACCTGATCCAGCTCATAAGAATTTTGAATATTACCTGCTGAGTTGGAGCAGGTGTGTTGGGGTAGGGAGTAGTTGAAACAGGACAGGACATTGGGTCCCCAGGACTGGGTTTCAAAACCACTGCTGTAAGACACTCCGTCTGCTTCTTTAGAAAATTTAATTTAGTCGCCATTTTATGAGCTCCACCCACCCTATACGTCCAGTGTATAAGTATAAGTACAATTACAGATGGTAGTTCATCTGTTGATGCGCAGTTTGTCAGCTCACCTCTACTCCATTTATGATGAGTCAGTCTCAGATCACAGGACCGCTGTTGACCAGATATTATTTGGGTGAAGGGTAATTCTCAACACAGCAGTTACGTGTATGTGTGTGTGTGTGTGTGTGTGTGTGAGAGAGAGAGAGAGAGAGTGTATCAGACACAGAGGTGTTGCTGGAGTTTTTACACACGTCGGTGTCAATGCTAGGTTGCACTGCCACCCAAAAATGTCCAGTCAAAAGCAGCTTTGTGCTCAGAAACTGACCACTTTTGAAGGACTTGAGAATGGCTATGGACTACAGTCTCTAATTGTACGCCAGCAAGGTGGTAGAAGGTCAAGTGCCAGTGATAGCTTCCTCTTTTTCTTTTTCTGTAGACCTCTGAGCTGGGAGTAACAGAGCATGTGGAAGGAGACCCCTGTAAATTTGCACTCTGGGTTGGACGCACGCCTACCTCAGACAACAAGATCGTCCTGAAGGTGTGTGACAGCTTTCAGGCTGAAATACTTTATTCACTCAATGAAAGGGGAGCATGACACCCTTAAGATAAGGATCTATTTACTGTAAAGCTAAACCATATCTGTGCATGAGTTTAACATGTAGAGAATGAGTTTAGTATAGAGAGAAAATGGAGGATCAGGGTTAGAATTGGGTTCACAACTGAACTTGGAAAACATGGTTTTGTTGGCAAAGAGTAATACCATTTTAGGCTGTAGGAGATCATGTGATGGTTGATGCTCATACTTGCCTGTATTTTTGAGTAACAACCAAAATATGAACAGGATTTTACCCATTTGTCCAGCAAACTGAACTGTAATTTGGGTTGCTTCTTATAGCACCCACCAAACCTGCCTGCTGATGAATAATTAGTAGGGCTGCAACAAACAACTAATTTGATAGTCGAATAATCTATCGATTACTGAAATGAATAATCGATTAATCGGATTATGAATCACTACACTACCAAATAACTTTTCTGTAGCTATTAGCTTTTAAATTTAGCTTGACGTTGTTTTATGCATTTGCTAACTAACAATGAAGAGAATAAAGATGAATACCATTCACTATTTTAATCAACTTTCCTGCTAATACAAAAGATAAAAAAAATAAAACTCCAATGTTTTCCTGTCAAAATTTATAACCAAGGACGTGCAAAGTAGCAGCAATAAAATATAACAAAACTAAATCAGTCTTCCTTTAATCAAGTAAATAAAAAAATCAATCTAAATTTAAACAGTGCAGTCTGTACTCTGTGCTCTGCTGTCTGTCTACACTTTGCTGCAACTAAATTTTACAATCACAGGTCTTTATTGAAACAGAGGAAAGTCAGCGTCTGAAAATGTTGCAGCTCAGCTCACAAGATGAAGTAGGACGGAATTTAACATTAACACTAGCTAACTAGCTCGCTAGCGCAACAATCGCCACTTCCCAAACCACACACTTCTGTACTTCACGCACTACACTAATGAGTGCGCTTCTAATGATATATGTCCTATTTTTACACACTATTTAGTGTGCTAGTATGCGATTTGGGATGCGGCGTATCTTACCGAGATGTATCTTCTTCATCCACTGAGCCGACAAGTTTCCTCTTCAGATGCTCCATCATGGAGGATGTGCTCTCGTGCCAGCTAAAGTCGGCTTTACAAATAACACATCTGGCAACCTTTTTTTCGGAGTTTGTTCTTGAGGCTGCCATCGCTCTGATGTTAACTCTCCAGTAAACTGTAATGTCAAAACGTTCCTAGTGAGCGCGAGAAAGACACGTAATGACGTCACCGACTGATCGACTACAAAATTAGTTGGCAACTAATTTGGTCGTCGATTTTAGTCGACCAAGACGAATAATCGTTGCACCCCTACTAATTAGCTAACAAAAAGGTGGGCCTTTGGACCTGCTAGCTTCTAAAGACCACCGTCGACCAGCCTGCTGTGCAACATTGTGTAGCAGAAACAGCATAAAGTGCAGCTATATGCCACTAGAACACTGATACACCAAGTTGAAGTTCTTTTTACATTCCTTTCGTATAAATGTAATGGATTGAAACACAATTGATGTATTTCACGCTTAGTATCAGTTAGCTAACTCTGCACATACTGTTTTCATGTTGAAAGAGGTAAAAAAGATGAGGCTGTATCATTGGCTGAAGTAACTATTAACATGTGTCTATTCATCTAAAAGTCTTTACTGTCTTTTTGTAAATTTCAAGCCACATCATCTGTGTTTTTTGTGGTTACATTCTGGTTTAATTTAATGCAGCAATGACAAAATGTTAAAATTGCACAGTACTCGAGTGTCAACACGCGTCATATTTTTGGGTGCAGTGTGGCGCATCCGGTGTACGCTGGCCTGAATTGTAAAACTCATTTACTGATACAGACATGAAGTTAAAAAAAACTATTTACGGCTTTAAGAAAAAAACGAATACTTGTGGAAAATGCTTCAATATGCATAGGTCACCTCATAGACCTTTCCAGCAGGGGACTCCCCAAGACCTCTGCTACAGTTAGAACCCTGTAGAGGATGCCTAAACCTACACACAGTTAAAGGAAATAAACTAGACTAGCAGACAGTTCAGTGTGTAAAGCTCAAAGAAGAAAATCTTTAAGAGGGGCACTATCAGATAAGACTCGCCCTACCTGGAATAAGAAGCGCCCCTGGTGAATTGTGGTCTAGGTTTTACAGTATGTACCATATTTATGAAGAATAATTTTTAGTCTTTGCATTTTTCAGAAATTGTGTTATTAATCAAAGTACAGCACTACAAATATAATATTTTTACATAAAATTGACACCTCTGTCAGTTGATGTGTTTGTGATTACACTTCATTGTGAAGACAAATGAAAATTTGTCACCTACCACCCCCCCAGGTTACCCTGCCATACAGTTCATAAATATGGCTTTAAAATGAATTCTATTTTTATATATTTGTACAAAAGTACATTGAACACATTAGATGTTGTCCAGCAAGGCTGGATACATCCTTGTAAATTTTTCATGTTTGTTCTAAAAGTAAGCTCAGAAATTCCACCTCTCCTTTTGTGTTTGCCAAAATGGCATCTCATTAGCTACAGGACAGTGGAACAATAGATTGTGAGATAATGTCTTACATATTGAGAGATTTAAAGATATATTAAATATGCTTAAACCGTCCTGTTTCTTTCCCTGTTATGAGTCATACTATTGTATAAATGAGCAATTTCATAAGATTTGACCATCTTATTTGGACTCTTATGTAACTCCAGACCTTGGATAAGAGTTACTGAGGTTTAGAAAGGCAAGACTGATGAGTCATATGCTAATCTAAGTGTCTACACATTCACACATGCAAACATGCTCTGCACACACACGCATATCCAAAATGTGAGTGTTGGAAGGAGCCAAATCCAAGCAACACTGTGACTACGTGTGTTTGTTTGCTTGTTCGTCTCTTCCGCAGGCTTCCAGTTTAGAGAACAAGCAGGAGTGGATCAAGAATGTACGGGAGGTGATTCAGGAGCGTACCATTCACCTGCGGGGCGCACTCAAAGAGCCCATCCACATCCCCAAAGCCACTGCCACCAAACTTAAGGGCAGACGGTACGTCAGTCTCATTTTGGGATGCGCAATATGGACAAAATATGTGGTGGTACTCAACTCAATGCATACATGTAAATTGATTTGTCCATCGTTAAAATACGCATGACAGAAATTGCAAACTTATCACTGCCAATACATCAAAAGGTACATAGTAATTGATTATTTTTTAAAAATCAGTTTAGGTTTAATCAAGTACTTGTGGCACACCTAATTATGATCATATTGGAGCTGTGATATTCCTTGGAGTATATTAAAGAAATGGTGAAAAAAATCAAGGTAGCGCAGTTGTCCACTTTTCCACCCAGATGTAGTCAATCAGCCAAGACATGTTTGGTCAGTAAATTTTGCTTTTTTGCTAAGAGCTGGAACTACAAGGCTAACGTTACTAACAAACACTAGACGTCAGTAGACACCCAAATCTTTTCCATAAATACATCCCCAAAACTTCTCTCAACCTTCTGAAACCACAACCAGGTCTTCATTAAGGGCATGCAGACTTGCCAGTGTGGTTTAGAGCACAGTATGACTTACTATCAGCTATAAAAATAAACAAACTTTACCATGTAGCTGAATACAGTAGGCAGCCACTTGTGCTGAAATTTGACTTTCCTTCACATGCATACACATCAAACACATATGGCTGCACCACAGATTGTGTTTGCTATTTCTTTTGCTTCAGTTTATAAAAAATAAAATCTTGAAATTTTGGACTTCAAATGCAATTTAGAGTTCATATGCCAGTTTTGGATTCTGTGGGCAAGTCAGAATTTGGCACAACTGTTATGTGTATATTTGATTTTTTGCCGAACCATTCCATTAAAAACACACTAGTTAACTTTTGCTGGGATGTGGATTTTTTAACCAAAATTATTAACATTTATTTATTTATTTGGTCATAATATTTACACTCAAATAACCACAGAAAAACTCATATGGCTTGTCCGAGACTTGGTCAAGGTGGTCAATAAATAAATGAATGAATGAGTGAATAACTGAATGAATAAGTAAATACGTAGTAAGTGGTTGATTAGAAGTTGTATTTGCATACTGCAGCCGCCAGCAAATCAGTATTGCAAAGGATATCATTGTGATAATGCCGGACAAAGGATACATAATGCAGATTTAATCTCAGTCCGCTTTCAGTCACCCTGATAAGTATGCAGATCACAGGCTTCTTTTTGTTTGAACTGTCCTTTTTGATTGAGACTTGTCTTAACCGATCACAGGGAGGGAGAGGACCTGGACAGTCAGGGTGACGCAAGCAGCCAGCCAGACACGATCTCCATCGCCTCCCGCACCTCCCAAAACACCCTGGACAGTGACAAGGTGAGTGTGAAACCTGACGCCTACTCACACAAACACACTCAGTCCACCTGCTGCAAGAAACGCAACCGGTCACTTCAAGCACAACACCAGGCTGTATGATGTCAAATTATTGTTGGAGGATTATTAAAACAATGTGTAGTAAGAAATAATTGTATTTACATCTGCAACAGTGGAGCACAGAAAGTGGGGGGCAAGCAAGAGCTGCTTTCTGAAAAAAAGAAAAACGAGATGCCTCACCGTGATGGTCAGCATCACAGAAACATTTGTGTATAGGTGCTACAAGCATATACAGCTGCAAACACTGACTGAGTGTACATCTCTCGGCAGATATTCTCAGCACTTCTCCAGTAATCCCATTTCAGCATGGTGGGTAATGTAGAGAGGCCTGCTTCAACCAGAGAAAGTAAAACCACTTTTTTTTCTCTGAAACCTTTAAGACAACTTTGTTCTTGGTTTGGTGGTTTTTGCTGTAGGAATTTTTTCAGCCGTCCGAAATGAAAATCATGGGATTTTGCTGTGTAATTCCGGAGATATTGAACTGTTTTATTCCTGAACCTGTAAAGCTTGTTGGGGGTGTGGCTATATATGTCTACCGTATGTCATTTAACATGGCAGATGCCGTGATTATCTGTATTTTCTGTGGAATCAACACACTTTTTTACTCGTAGTCAGTGTTGTTCAATCAGTAGGCCATGTGGGTACCATTAGTGGGCTGCTGGGAATTTTTTTTTTTGTTTTTTTGTTCGTTTGACCACAAAACTTTATTAGAATATGTAGATGTTTAACTAAACCAACAATTTTTAGTATGACAAATGTTATTCTTGTAATCATTCTTCAAAAAAAAAAACATCAAAATGCCTAAATATTTAAGTCGAGCTCAGCGATGACATATAACTGACATATAACTACCTAGATATGTTTCTACTCTTTTCAGAGGACGTCAGTGTAAAACTTTTATCTTTTTGATTAAATGGAATCCATCCTTCATGGATAAATAGCTACAAACAGTGGTCTATATTATTCTGCTTGATTATGCAGTCAAGTAAAATTCGATAGGCTACTTTCAGTTCAATTCAATTCAAATTTATTTGTACAACACTTTTTACAACAGTCATTAAATCGTCTTCTGGTCCACGATGTTGGAAGAAAAGTCAGCCTTTACTTCACACTGCTGAAAGAGTGTTAAAGAGGTAACAGTTAAAAATTGCTGCTGCTATAAATAACCTGAACTGTGACAGAGCACATCTTTTGTACTGAGAAGCATTAGTGCTTGTTCAGAACACTTCAAGCCAGAAGGATGTTAGAAGTTTGGACTATTGAACCAGCATCAAATATTTTGCATTTATAAGCTGACTTCAGAGTTTCCAGGTAGCCTGTCGTACTGCAGCTGTAGTCGTCTCTCTCCTATGGCTTCCAGTGTGAACTCTTCAGTATCATTATATATATATATATATATATATATATATATATTCAGACCTTAGATATTCACAGGGATTATGTTATGATCTGTTTATTTAAACCCTCTAAGTAACTAATTGAGATAATAATATACTAAATATAAACAAAATCATAATTATAGGGAATTTTCTATTGTGAGACGGCTGTCCTAATCTCTAACCCCTCATTTCAAATTGTGAAAATAATACTTCTCTTTTTTTTGCATTTTTTAAGTGTTGTTTTTAATGAGATCTTTTTTAGTTTCTTTTAAAGTGAAGTTGAAAGTTTTAGGTTTGTCATGGTTTTAATTTTTAAATAAAAAAAGCCTTGTTTTAGCTACAGCCCTGCATTTTAGAGCAGGAAGTGAGACTACATCCCTGCAATGCAGTCTATCAGCAGTTCTCAGCGCTATCATTGACTCAAGCCCAGTACTGTACATTTAGATGCTCATCCATAGACTACAAGTCAGAGGGTTGTAAAAGATTGATCAGTCCTGTATTTTGAAGGTTGTTTTGCTGAGGATTCCTGCATCTACAAACGGTCATGTGCTTGTAATGTAATAAACTCCAGTAGGCTTGTCACGGGAGATGGTGAAGACAGAGCTGGCGAGGTTGCAGGAGTTTCTCTTAACAGCACAGACGTTCCTCCTCCCACTCTCTGGCTCGGCTCTGCTCTCCCACAGCCTTGTTTTTCTCACTGATCCCCATCGCAAGCCTTCAACCACGCACAAATACTCAGCCTAGGTATCTAGCACAAAGATCCTAACACACATACTTCCATATGTAGACACACCTATACACACATGCACAAGTTCTATAGAGCCTTCTATAGAGAGTAATATATTGGACATACAACAATATATTCCCACTGTCATAACAAAACCTCACATCTTAACTGTAATGTACATTAATGTAGCAAGAATTATTACAAAACAATTGTGCACCATTTTTATTGGTGCGTTTGTCAGCAATGTAAAGGGCAACTAATAATTTCAAGTGGTGTAAATATAAAAGCAAAAATGGAAATGAAAGTATACGAACAATAGATGTTAATATTTTGGGATTTACTGGAAAATACAGTACTGTGCAAAAGTCAGAGACCACCTTTCATTTATTTGATTTCTTGTAAAAATGGCCATTGAGCGTATGTTATTCATTTTTCAGTGTCAGGAAAAAGCATATAAAACATATAATAAATAGAAAATACACAGAAGCCTCAACTACTAAATGGAATATCAAACTTCTCAGTCAATTGTTTTTCAGAGACTTGCTTTCAATTTTTCAAAGAAATCTGCTGGGATATTTTTTCATACCTCCAAAGTTCAGTCTTAGAAGTTGGTTGTTCTGAGAACACCAGCAGCTTCTTTGTTTGGTTAGATTTGTCTTCTATTTTGTCTGTTTCCTTTTCTCAGTAACAGCTTCTTGACAGCTACACATACTTTCAGACTCGATAGTGTTGAGTTTCTCTCACAGTGGAAGGATGGACAGAAACACCAGTGGATTTTTTCAGATCTGAAGCAAGAGTGGAGCTTGAGTTTCTCCCCTCTTTCAAAAATGAAAGTACAGTTTGTCTGATGGTGACCGTTTTGGTGGTCTTCCATTTTCTTTATATCTTTTGATTTTTTTTTGTACTCCGGTTTTGGAAACTCGTATCTTTGCACTTATTTTCCTTTGACTTTCCCCTTCCTTATGCAGGTGGATTATCTTATGTCTTATCTGCTTAGAAATGTCTCCTGAAAAATGAATAATTTTTTGCCATTTTAAATGAAAATTAGAATGAAAGGTGGTCACTGACTTTTACACAGTACTGTATATTATGTACATATATATCATGTTATGTTTTCATAGGAGAGAAACTCACACACCAGGTTGCTATTGCAAGCTTCTCACCACACGCTCACACTCAGCTCAGAGGAAATCATTATCTCTAAATTGACTGGTGTATCCCAGCCGGCCTCTTCACAATGCCCCCATCTGTCCTGTGCCAGTCAGCACACACAGAGCACTCTCAGTCCACAGCGAGGTGAGAAGGTCAGAGCCCGCCGTGCGCTTCCCCGCTGCGGCATTTTAATTAGCCTCCTGCTCCTTTAAAACAGCTCTGTGGTCTCCATGTGCCTCCGCCTCCGCTCCCTCTCTTTCTCCCCCTTCCGACAGCCCTCGCGCCTTCTGAACATGAGTGACGCTGTCGCTGCGGCGACGCCGCGATGTGTCAGCAGCCTCCAACCGCCTGCCTCTGCAGCTCGGCTGAGTTCCTAAGGATCAGGGGAACGAGAACTGACAACAGGGACGGAGAGGAAGGCTTGGTTCCTTTGCGTTTAGCTTCCCATCGCTGTGCCTGAAGGACGCAGCAGTTGTCATTAGAACTATGAGGCTTTGACTTGGAGCATTTTGCTGTTTCGCTCGTTCAGTGTGGACTTGCTGAGGGACATGGAGTGCAAAAGCTCAGGGTCAGTGGCACAGCTGCTGTGCTCCCTGGCTATGCCACACTATCAGTGGGTACGTGATTGACAGTTGGATGGAAACTTTGACCACAAACTCTTGCCACTGTTTGTGTCTGTGCCTGTTAATTTATTGCATTTTTATTGCTATGGATTAGTGTTCAGTCAAATGAATAATGCTTTAAAATAACATCACAATGGCTACACAACAAGGACAAAATAGTAATATTGCAATAATGTTGCTACATATTACAAAGCAGCTTGAAATACATTAAGGATGCATTGATGAATCAGTGATGGTTAAAGATGGGCTTGCAAGGTAATTTAATGGGGTTGCATGAATGATTTGATTCATCAAAACACCCACAGAAACATCTTGAGCTGTGATTGGTTAGGATGCTCACAATACACAAATTGTTATTGTTCAGATGGTTTGTTTGCATATTTCAGCCTTCTGTGATATCAGTGTTGATATCCAATATTGTGAACAATAACCAAACACTGAAAAAAAAATTCCTGGCATGCGTAAAAATCTTAAATCTAGTTGATAAATCTAAAATTTTTCATTAGATGGTTATGAAGTAAGTTTGAAGTAATTTTTTTCTGGAGAAATTATCTTATTCTGTTAGACAGTTTTGCTTGTTCCAAAACATAATGCACATAGTTTCAAGAAATTAGAAAGTTATCTGCCAGAAGAATAAAAAAATGTTCTTGATTTCTCTTGAGTTTAAAATATTATTTTAAAAAATCCAGTTCTTACTTATCTATTCTTACGTACAATATTCTTTTTCAATCAGTACTGCTTTTTAATTAATATTTCCTTTCAAGTGAATATCCCTAAACTGAGCTATTTGGCCTACAGGTGTACATAACAGTTGACAATCTAACTTTAATTAATTTTACCTTGTTCAGTGATCATTAACCAGTCATGCATCCTTCCCTTGTCCACAGCTGTCTGGCGGTTGTGAACTGACAGTGGTCATCCATGACTTCATGGCCAGTAATGGCTCAGAGTTGACTGTGAGGCGAGGTCAGACCGTGGAGCTCCTGGAGAGGCCACAGGACAAGCCTGAGTGGTGCTTGGTGCGCACCACTGACCGCTCACCTGCCCAGGAAGGCTTAGTGCCCAGTGCCATGCTGTGCATTGCCCACTCCCGCAGCAGCATGGAGATGGAGGGAATCTTCAACCACAAAGGTAGGATGAAGGAATTTACCTGAGTCTTCAGTTTCAGTGTTTAAGTGGAGTGGGGTTACGCAAGGGTGCAGTATGGGTTCGAGTTTTGCGTTGTAGGTTTTCACAGTGCAGCGGATGTGTTTTTTTCACCTTTGTTTGAATTTGGACGTTTAAACACCTGGATGTGTGCCGTAAATGAAAAACTTGTTCTGTGAATAATTAAAGCTTACTGTTAGACTTAATTTGACTGTGCTATTTGATTTTCCATTCCTTTGACCCTGTAATGTTTTATGTCCTGAGATGGTCCTGTCTCAAAAAGAGCTTCAGTCTATAATGTGTCAGCTTTCCCCTGCCTGGAGGGATTTCCACTCAGACATGTTCGTACTGGTGTAGGAGGATTCCAGCTGTTTCTTTTGTACGTAGTTTACAGACTAGCACCAGTGACTCAGCCACCAAGCCCATGATGGGTTCATTAGCAGCCACACAGTCGCATACATGCCCTTTGAAAGGACATACATTTCATGTGGAGTTATTGTCTATACCTCATGCTTGATGTAACTTACAATTGTAAATTGGCTAAAGGAAGCTACGTTGTGAATGGTTTATGGTACTGTAGATAATGTGGAATGGTGATACTCTATAGGTCTTCTGCAAAAGATGCTGTTCAGAAAAGTGTAAAACTTATTTTAACTTCAGCGTTGAATGCAAATAAAATTGTACCCGCTGTCCAGCCCCACGCACTTTTGATGAGCGCTTAGAGACAGACAGCATGTGGTAATCGTGGCGACAGCCTGTGTTATCTGCTGAGCAAAGTTAACTTGCCACGGGGGATTTCCCACAATCCCAAAGGTCAGAAAAGATGATGATAAAATCTCTTCTACAAGTGCTTAGCAGTTCCCTGAAGGCTTCAACCAAGCAAAAGAGTTTTGGTAGACATGGTTTATGACATTAAGCATGTTCATTGTGTTATATTCTGTATTGTTTTACATATTTATAGTTTCCGCTGTGCTGTCTTCTGGGAAGGTTCTAACCATTTCTGACCACAAATTGGAATTGTGTGAAAGACTTTGCTTGGTAGGAGTTTTCTCACAAAGAGAAAATCAGGTGGTGACATGTGCTTTAATTGGCAGAGTGACCAAGCATAGGCTTCTGGGGTCAACTGGAAAGGGGTGACTGGGCCGCCATTGTGATAAATCCAGCCGTGTGTGTAAGGTTTTGTGTTCATTTGTGAATGCTGGACTGAATTCTAAGTGAGGCCCTGTCCAAACATATCCAGATATTTTTGTGAAGTAGTTTTTTTGTTCTGTGTTTTGGCCTCCTGTCCACACAAAAATGATGTTTCCATTCACAGAAAAAATGAGGTTTTTGTAAATGCTCTTCAGGCAGTATAGGCTGTTAACTTACACGTTTACATTTATTGAGCATGCAGAACTCTTCTGTGAAATATGATTGATAGCGTTAATTAAATTTAGTTTTATTTTTTCATTAAATTGTAGTATGGAGGTCTACTACTGTATGTACTGCTTCAGTTCTTTTACATGAGGTATAAACTTAATTGCAAATATTAAAAATACCTTATAAAGATTCTAAAGATGTGTTTTGATCGTTACCAATTTAGATAAAAAAAACATGGCAGCAAGTGGTTGGCTTTGCTTTTTAAAGCTTTGATTTTCTGACGGAAATCAGGCTTGGAATCTCTGTGAAATCTCGAGTTACAGAGGTTTGACGCACTACAAGTAAAAGCCTATCGGGGTTGTAACCATAGCTGCCACTTTGTTAGAAAATCTCTGCTTCGCCTTCATGGCGCAATCTATATGTTTTGCAATATGCACACATCCTCTGGAGGAGAATGACTTCAGTTTCTATGTGGTATTAACACCCTTCACTGAGCTGGCATGCTCATGTGAATGTATTTCAGTTGTTTTGTTAGTGCTTGTGCAGACAGAGAATTTCAAAACACTGTTGGTGTGGACAAAGATATTTTTGTATGATTTTAAAAGTATCCAGATACGTGTAGACAAGACCATAGAGCTTGTTTCCCTTTCGTGGATCTTTGCTTCTTCTGTGTAAAATTATTGGTGTAACAATACGCTAAGCTCATACTTCAATTTGATTTACGATGATGCTTTTAATTAAACTGCAGCTGGGAACAGGAACCTGCAATCGAGCAGCTAATAATTGGGCAGCTGATATTGGACATCTGTACAGTGTACATTGTGACAGTGTTGCATTGTGATATACTATGTCAGAGTGTCTTTATTTACACTTACTGCAAATAAATAGTCCATCCAGGTGTTTGATTATGTGGATTATTATCTAGAAATACTAAAGATTGAGTAGTTTTAAACAGTAGCTCATGTCTGGTGGATTTTAGAGTCTTGTTGGCTTATATGTTGTACATTGTGGCACTGAAGCCATTGATTAAAGTCACGACTAAGTGCTGATTGGACCCAAGAACCTTTCCCATTGATGACTCCTGTAGCTGCTGAATGCAGAGAACTGCTTGTGGAATCCTGAGAGCCTCTGGCCTTGAAGCCATCAGTGAATTGCTTGTTAGATTTCATAACAGCTACCAGGCATCCTCACCAACATAGGAGATATATGTTTTACAAACTTTAAACTCAAGCGGACAAAAGGGCAAAAGGGCTACATATGTTTCATCATTTAATATTAATATTGATAAAATGTTCATGGTTACATGATAAAAAAAGAAAAACACTTGGAGTAGTTAGAATAGGTTGTGAGTGGAATTCTTCTAAAAATTCTTTTAAAAAATTATTTAAATAGCAAAAGGTCCCTAATTCTATTTTCTTTTTGATTGCCGAAGTAAAAACAAGTAAAAAGAAATATACCCAGTATCTGTGTACTTAACTGGCTCACACTGCATATACATCATGAAATCATAACGCAGATCAGCTGAAACCACTAAATTGAGCCAGAATTGGAATCAGCCAGTTTTTACTCCTAATGCGCAGTCTGCAGTTGGCTGGTTCCAGTTTTGCCCAGTTTTATTTGTGCACCCCTAAAAGTTAATGACCTTTACGAAACTGATATCACAAACATTTGTCATATGCAAATGAGCTTCTGACCAATCATTGAATGTTCTGTATGCTGTGAGCACCCTGACCAATCACAGAACCAACATTCTGTTTTAGCGTTTGGATGATTTTAGGAATTCACATGATCCATGATGGTAAAAATGTAAAGATGAATTAGTCAGTTTATTTATTTTATTGCTAGTATAACTAGGCTGTAAAATGCAGGGTGGAATGAAGGGCTTGTCTGTGTTTACACTGACCTCCTGTCAGTCATTTTATACGACCCTCCCTTCCACCACTCTGCCCCCATCTCTGTCTCAGACTCAGAAAACATGGTGGAATCCAGTTACCGACCAGCACCAGCAGGTATTAGTACTGTGGGGATACAAAACACAGAGTGTTGGCAAAAAACTTCACAACAAAAAAAGTGATGCAACAAAAATGAATACTGGAAGTTTTCAAAGATAGAACTGTTACATGTGAAGAGGATAAAGTTGGATGCAGAATTAGCAATATTCCTCCTGGACAGCTATATTTAGGTTTAGGTATATAAAGGACTGAACTCAAGGTGCTGTGGGCTATATTGTGTTTGTTACGTAGCAACGTTAGCATAATGGCATACATTTATCTTATTTATCTTAATAGTGAAGTAAGGCAATAAGATGTCATGACGATGCTTGGTAATGCTAGTAAACTCTTATGCTGGACACCGTTTAATTTATGGACATGCTTTGTGTTGATATGCGGGATGGGAGGTGGGTCCAAATTATTCCAGTGTTGTTGTAGTTCACCTGTGTAACCATTAGATATCTAGATATCGTATATCTTCAATTTTGACCCTCCACCTGTAAGTAATTTTGGTCAAAATGGTGCAGGCCACGTCACACCAACAATTCACCAGTGTATTCTTAGTGTATTGCGAGGCGTATCGCAATCACAGAATGTGGCAATATGATCACAGGATGGTATTTAGTGCATTTTATGCAGCCATAACTGAGGTCGTGGGAAAGGTGCCAGTGCTCTCTCAACAAGGACAATGAGTATTTATAGAATGGGTAGAAAGGACATGTGAACATGTTTAACATTTCCTGACCAGTCCTTGTGAGCTCGTACATTGAAATTTTTGCGATTGCTGGTGATTCAAAGTGTGTCATATTAGTCAGCACATAGAACCCAAAGCAGAATCCTCTGAATGTCCACTGGTGCTGGAAGGAGGGTAAAGGAGCCTTGTGTGTTTCCATGTGTTCGTTCAGCAACAGGAAGCAGTCCGACTGGCCAAGTCCCAGCCGCAAGATGCCAGCCAAACACACAGTTCAACAGGAGAGTCTTTGTACTGACCACTGTGCCATTTCTGTATTCCTGCACTGTCCACCTCTATCAATAAAGCTAGTGAGAGAGGTACTTGTTTCAATAGGTAAAATATGTACTGCGACTTGATATTGGCCATACCTGTTGGTCATCCTCTGGACAACTAATTACTGTAATGCATTTACATACATTTCTGGAGAAAGTTTTGGAAAATCACACTATGAATGTGTTCTTTTGCCATATTTCCATGGATGTCAGTGTCCAAATTAGATTTGCGCTTTGGTCCGATTCCTAGATGACAAGTAAAGATAACAAGAAAAGTTTTTGATTTTTTTTAGCTTTAACTGCAATAAGTGAAAATTGGGGAAAAAAATGTGCAAAATCTAAAAAAAAATTTCTTAAACAATTTCGTCTCCTTTAGTGGACTGTGCCTTTTCTTGCTCGTTCTCCCTCTCTCCTTACCTCCCCCTCTCTCCCTCCCTCTCTCTCTCTACCCACTCTAGTCAGCACCACCCTCCCTTGCTCTCTCATTCTCTCACTGTTCCACACATTATCCAGTGGGATATTTTCAGTTTGATGCATAGCGTTTCGGGACACGAGCCGTACCGCCGCGTCCTTTAAGGCATGGCGCATGGATTAAACTCATTTTTATCTTTGAGTCCAACGTACCATATG